TCAGAAGCCCAAATGACATAATAAAATATATAAAAATCATGTAAAAAACAAAATCAGGGACTTACCTGAGCAAGAATTCATTTCAGTTTCTCATTTTATTTTGATGTCAATTCAGCTCAGGAATTTACTTTTTTAAACCTTAAAAGTTTTTGTACGATGAAGAAATCCCTTCCACTGTGACAAAGTCTTACTTCCAGAATTTCGCATTTATCAGTCACTTGATCTTTAAAAGTTTGAGAAAACATCACTATCCTGGCTCCTTTCTCTCATTCAGGATTGTCAGCAACATTCTGGACTTAGATTCAAAAGGCTGCCACAGTACTCAGCCACCCACAGCACCGCAGATTTTAAGCCTGGAAGAGGTCAACTGGAGCATCCAACTGGATTTTCCAAATCATATTGTGTCTTCCCCATTTCGAGCCTCAAATTTCCACTAAAGACAAGGCATAGCTAAAGTCAAGAGCAGACTTCACAGCTGTTGGCTGCTTCTGTGTTGGCCAACAGAAGTTCAGCAGTGATTTTGTGCTGCTCAGCTTTATGCAGCTGTAAGAGACCTTGGTTTTAGAGACAGGTGCTTAGAGCTTTCTGGAGACCAAGCATTCATAAATGTGTTATTGCTGTCTCGCACAACCCCCCCAGTCACTCAGGGAGCCTCAAAATCACTGCACCTCCACAGCCTGCTCCAATGTGCCACAGAATTCCCCTAAAAGCTTCTTGTTCAAGCCCACCTGGAATTGCTATTCCCTCCCCAACCCATTCAACCACTCTCCGAGTCCTCACATCCATCCTCAATATATTTTGCTAATTTCTTCTGCACCCTCTCTCCACAAGGTTGTCTTTCTCATCTATCCATGCACAGATTTCCATGAGGGTAACAGCAGCTCCTTAAGCTTTGAGAGATACAACCTGGAGCTGCTTCTTTTCTTTCAGAACATAGATTGTTCATTTGGTCCAACACCTCATCTTTTTCTTGCAGCCCCTCACTGGCACCTTTTTCTAGGACAGCAAACATTAACTATCTTTATTTTCAAGATGCCTGATGCATTAATGTTATTTTTTTTTTTTCCTAATTACTGAGGAGACAATACCCACCTCCAGTTTTCCAATAGCAACAGAACTTAAAGAAAATCCATACAGTCCAAGATCACTGCTCTGGTAGTTTTTGGTATAATAAATAAACTGGTAAGAGTTTTGACTTCTTTCCTCAGTAATTGTGAGAGTTGAAACAGCAACAGAAAGAATGCAACCAATTCTGCTTCTGTCTCATGTGAACAGGACATTACAAAAGAGTTGACAATCTGACAATTTTCAGCGCAAGTTTTAAATAGCTTTAGGAACCTACAGTTTGTACTTCTTTTCAGTTCAGAAATTCATTGTATTCCATAGACTCAAACAATGTTTGCATGAAAAGGGCTACAAACATTTTAGAAGAGTTGACTTGATTAATATTTATGAATATATTAAGGACATTATGTATTATACCAGCACACATGTGGAGCAAGAATACAATATTTTACTGTTCACTGGGATTTTATCGGACATTAACAAACACCTCTGCTATGCTGCAGAGCTTGATTCTTTAGCCACCCAGGAAGGTTAGTAATAAAGATAAATAAATCTAGTACAAGTCATGAAATAACTTAGTGTAATTAGAGTGTGGTTCTTAAAGGTGCAGCATTAACATCCTCAGCAAATTCTGGAAGCTGGCAGAAGATGCAGATTTTTGTCTGTGATTCCAAACATTTAGGCCACACGTTATCCACAGGTACACTACACAGCTCTTCTCCAGCTATCCAGATTTTGAACAGGAAGCCCACGTGGATAACTGTGGCAGGAGTCATTCTGACTCTCTCACTCCTTCACGCATATAAAAGATACGTTGGAAAATATTCCTAAATTGTTCAAGAGTGACAGGAACTTACCACAGCTAATTCATCTGCAAAGTCCTATTCAGCCAGACCAAAGTAAAAATCATGTTTGTTTTTGAAGTTTGACCAGTTTTCACCCGAGCTTCAAAAAGGAAGCACTGTTCTCCCCTCTCCTTCCAGCTGCTGAACTCTGTAGATGATGGGATCTGTTTGAAATTTTACTTTTATTTAAAAAGCTTAAGGCAAAATTCTACTTTCAGATCTGCAGAGAGTGTCACAACAGAGGTGTTCTGCTCTCCTCACAGGCACAGAGCTGGTCTGCTCCCCTTCATCTATTGTCCTGGGAGCCACTACCATGCAGGGAGAACACATGGGGGACTAAGACCTTTTGTACAGACCAAAGAGTACTGGGTGCAATGTAAAAAAATTATACACCACTGGGCTGCAGAGCTTCAGCAAACCATGCACTCTCACCTCACTCTACTTAGCTCAGATGTGAAGGAGACGTGTTTTTAAGCAAAAATAATCACGGAATGAAGCACATTATCAATGAGGGGGGAAAATGAGATTCCTCCATCTCCTCCATCCAACAACTCTTCAGAAACTCAGTGGCCTTTGTCCCTAAGACACAATGGCATTATGATCCTTAACGATATTGTTGTACATCAGTACTGGGAAAGATTCACGTGACAATCCTCAACACCAATATGTATTAATCAGCAGGAAAGGTCCAGAGCTAGAAACACGTCTCTACCCTTTTATTGTATAGCAGTAAGTTCCTACTACCAACCCACATACTCTCACTGCTCTTGGAGAAGCTGTGTATATAGAAATGCAACAGCACCTTTTGCTTGAACATTACAGATCTACACAGCTACCAATGAGACTTGCAACCTTTCCCCTATTTACACAGTGGTGGCACAGAGACAACCATGAGAAAGACCCTTGTTCAAGTAATAGGACACTGTGAACATGTGAAAAAGGATTTCTGGAATTTTAAGTGTTTTGTATGTGCAGAAACACCAGTTAAGTTCACATCATGGCTCTAGATTTGTTTCTCCTCATATTGTTAGTACACTGTGAATTATTTTCATGCTATCCATAGGTGATTTGAAAGTGGACTTGTGTGTGAGTGGCTGTGCATGCATACACGTCCTGTGGCTACGGTATTTCTCACACCAGAGGTGGAGATTCTTCTAAATCTGATTTTATGGATGGAGAGAAGAAACAGAGGAGAAACGCTCTATCAAAAAGGAAAGAATGTCAAAGTGTGGGAGTTCTACCCAGATTTCTGGATCACAATTCAATAGCCCAATGCCACAAAAGTATTTTTCTTTTCAACTTCTGGATGAACATTATTTTAAATCTTTAAAACAGGAACAAAACTAGAGGCTATCTACAGTTGACTCCAGAAATATTCTATAAGAACTTTCCATTTTTATTTAATTGTTTTTACTTCCAGAACACCTGATACATAGAAGTCCCCGAATTAAAAGAAAAAAAATAAAGTTTGATTAAATGTATTCTGTCACATTATATATATTTTATCCAGTTACAGAAGACAAAATCTTAACAGCACTGCTTTTGAATCACTCCAGAGCATTCAGCAGGAGTCAATTTATACTGCAAGAGAATGATGATGTACCTCAACTCATTTTAATTTCAATAATTGAATGAGAAATAGGAAAGCTTACTGAAAGGACTGTATTCTGGTCAAAGACTAATGAGAAAATAGTTTTGAGCCTCTGAGTCAGCGGGTGTCATGGTAACAATGCATTATCGAAATCTGATTAGCATGCCCAGCAGCTTTATAAATGATAACACGCTCTTCTAATTGTCTTTTCCCTTCTTTCTCTGTGATGAGTTTTATATTCATAACAGGTAAGGGGTAAGGCAGTGTTCTGTTTATCTGCAAGTTAGACTTAGGATGTCCAGCATGTTCACAAACTCTGTGCAATAGAAAAATTTTTCTACCATCTTAAAATAAGAAGCTGAGCTTTCCATTTCTCTCCTCCTATATTGTATGCAATTATTTAAGTTAAATATTATTCTTTTACTTTTAATGTATAAAATTATTTCTAAGGATATACACACGAAAAAGAGAACATGGAGACACAAGCATCTTAAGAAAAAGCCTGTTTCACAGGAGAAAGAGATGCATGAGAAGGGTGAGTGCATGTTTAATTCACCTCAGAAAGCGTGACTCCATGTTCCTGAGGTTTTGAGAAGAGGGAGGGGATTTCCTTATGTTCAGAAGATTGTGTGTGTTTGCTAACCCATTACAATACCAGAAATCAGGAAGAACCACAAGTTAAACAGGATACTTTTCCTTCTCATGAAGGAAAGAGCTAGTATTGCTTCATAAAATAAATACAATGAAAATACAAGGTTGGAGGTTTAAAAATGCTCTTTTTTGTAAGTGAATCTCAGGTGAGTTGCCTGGCAGACCTTTATTATAATAACAGTAAAGAACTATTACAACTGCAGCCTCACAAATCTGATGCAAAATCATTTTAACATATAGAGGCTCAGTGTTAACAAATGGATATTTTTTTTTTTTCTGAGAGTAAAACGGCATTCTATTTTTCAACAGAATGACCAAGAAATCTACTTTATGTTTGGCCTATTCTCATGACCCCTGTAACCTAAATATTTATTTCTCATTTTCAGTGTTCACTTTTATTTATTAATTCAGCTTCAAATCTGTATAAAGGAGGAATGCTCATGTTCTTATTCTCTAGGTAAACTCCAATACTCTTAATCATATGACAAATAATGCCTAATATAAGAAATCAACTTTTCTGTATTTTATTAATAATGGAATCGTGTTTGTTATAGTGCATGAACACGGAGAAAATGAATATAGCGAGACCTAAAAAGCTTATTACTCCTTGTTACGTGCACTGGCACATGGACAAAGTTTAAGATGTACAAAATACTAAAAGCAATCAATCTTAAGTCAACACACTGAAAGCCAGAGGAACATTTATCTACATGTTTGGAAATTCAGCAGAGAGCGCAGGGTTACACTGAGAATAGAAAGTCATCAAAGCAGGCCAGTGAACAAAGAAAGAGCAAACAAGTACTCCCCAGAAGGGATTAGTGGGAGTTCAGGGGACTGTTTGCACTAACCTTGGATGGAAGCAGCAGCCTGAGAGCCGATCAGTGTGACCTTCACCTGCCATGATGATGTTCCCATCAGGTAAAGCCCACATTTTCCAGAGGTGGTCATCACTGCCAGTGACTACAACATCTTTCTGGGGATGTAAAGCCAAGCTACAACAGAAAAGAAAGGCAGATTACATTCTGTATCAATTCCATTCTATGTGAAATACACAGCAGTGAGATTCATTTAACTCAGGGCAACAGCTACATAGGACTTTGATTCTGGAGGGACTGAACAACTAGTGATCTAGTGATGCTCCCTGTGCTCTTACGAATTTAAAATACATGCTATGTAGGTGAGCTTCTGCTGCTACTGAAGAAAACAACAAAACATGACCAACCTTTGTGAAACCAGAATTGTTTTCACACTGTCCTGAAGTTCCAGTTGATTAAAACAATCAAATATGTCTTAAAATACTCTGTTAGATTATGTTCTTACAAACATGCAACAGGGTAATGGATGAACAAGCCACATGAACGTGAATCACTTTTTCACGCACCCAAAATAACTTCAAAAGCATTGGCTTGTCAGTCTGCTGCTGATGGCCAAAGGGAAAAGGACAAAAGGACTCTGCTTTTTTGTTTTGTTTTGTTTTCTCCTTCATTGTGCCCACAGGTCTAAAGTCTCCCACCACTGAGAAATAACCCAAATGATAATTACAGTCCAGGAGCTACAGTCTTTGCCATCACTTTAGCACCTATTCGCTGGGACTAGGTCAGAAAATCCATTTCAATTCTATACTCAAAGTGTGTTACATGTTTTCATTTTTTATTATATAGCACACTGGGATGTAATGGAAATCATACACTTATCACACCCCTATACTGAAAACTCAGTTTATTTTTGATTTGGCAACTGCAGTGCAGCTTAAAATGGATCCAGGGAAGAAAATAAATCTGTTGGAAAGATAACAAGTAGTGTATTTCATATGGATTTGGTTATTTGATTTAAATTATTGTAATGCTTTACTATTTCTTGAACATCAAAGAGTATCTAGGAGTTGACTTAAGTCCCAAGAGTAGATTATTTAAATACATTAAATCTGGAGTTCCGAATCACAACGCAACAATGGGGAGCGGAATCACAACCTGTGTGTGCACCTATTTCAGTTGCACATCAGAGCTGACAATTTGCAGAGAAAAATACTTGTTAAAACCAAATGAGAGTAGAGAGAGACGATGCTACGCAGCCAAATGGGAAGAAAAAAGAGGTCCTAGAAGGCATGCTATTATAAAAATCTCTGTTTTAATACTACCTTTCTCCTGCACTAAAATTATTTAATAACATTCCTAAAGCAGAACCACAGCTTCTACTATATTGGGAAAAATAATAGCCTCCATCAAATCTATGCTAAAAACATATTTATGTCAACTAGATTTTCATCAGAAAACACATCTCCTTGCAGTTTAAGGCACAGTCTAGGAAGATTTCTAAAGATTCATCAGTTGAATTCATCTGCTCAACCAAGGAGCCTGGGTTTTACTCATTCTCTAGTTTCTTAGAGAAAAAAAAAAAAAAGTTTTCTATCTTTGCCTAAAGAAGAGAAACTTTCTTTGCATTTATAGGAAGAAAAGAGGAGGGAATGATGCTATTTAAATTCTCCAGAGATGTACAGAAAGCAACTGTATCACTTAGATCGGCCACAACAGATATCTAGAAGAGCAAGGAGGGAATAGAGATAAAAGGAGAGAATTAAAGGCTGAAAGAAGGCACACCAGTGGCTTGCAAATTACAGGATGAGAACTGTCCCAGAATCCCTCTACTATCGGAGACCTCTGACATGCCAGAAATCCCATTGCTGTTTTCTGCAGCATGCATAAGCACGTAGCATTGTTATTCTGGGGACTGCTAAAAAGGAGACCAGCTTCACAGAAAAATGAGCGGGCTAATAACTATTAAGACAAATCCATCAGGGTTGCACACAGAGTCTTCTCTCAGCCTCTAAAACAGCAGACCTTCCTCACTGGCACACACCTGGCCGTGCACCGCACGGGAGCAAAACCAGTGCAGGAGTATCTTTTACTTGCTAGCAACAAGCTCCTCAGCTCTTCTGGACACAGCAAGGGAATGGCAAGGGAAAAAGAAACAGAAGTGGATTCAGGAAGACTAGGGAGGGAGACGAGAATGCCTGTTGCAAAACCCTCGACAGCACGTGCAGGAAGCTTAAACACCGATCCAGGCCTGTCTATGATGCAGTTAAAAGACTGGATTCTTCTCTTTTGGGAACAACTTTATTATTGTGTTATTTAGAGAAAACAAACAAGAAAACAGTGTCATATGGATGCAGTCTACATTTTACTTTTCATCTCTTTCAGCTATTTCAGATACCCTCCAGTTCTTCCCTCCAGGTATTTCTGCTATCAGCCGCGTGCATGCCTGTTGTGAAGACTTTCCATCAGTTATCTATTACATTCTTCCTAAATATCTGCCTTCTCAGTTCCCAAGATGTGTTACACAATCTAACTTAAATCGCCTGCAGTCCACCGTTCGCTCAGAGAGAAGTTAATCTACTGGCTCCCTCCAGATCCCGACTCACTTTCTGAGCAGCCCCTGCCCACGGGCTTGGATGCGAGCTGTGCCATCATTCACCCTGCCTCACCTCCCAGGAACGCTCTTCCTGTTCTTGATCCTCCCAACACACTTCCAGTCCAATTGCTGAAATGTCCAAACTGCTTCAGTGACTAGATGATCCTAACGAGCTTTGAGACAATCCATAAAGTGAATTTCATAGGGAAGAAAAGATCTTGCCGTCAGTATGAAGCCTGCTAGCTTATTTTTCACAAGCTTTTAATTGCAGAGCTCTTGTATAATGTTGCTGCTGTCCAATGTTTTTTTTTTTTTTTTTTTTTTTCTCCATGCCATTTTTACAGGCACACAGTGAACACTATTTAATTAACAGCAAATTTGTGACATAACCACTGTTGAGCTGCTTCTGAGAAAGGGGAGACCATTCATCCAAAAGGCGTTCTATATGCAACATTAATTAGGCACCCTTGTCTTCATTTCTGGCAATCCAGCATTGTATAGATTTTTGCTTCATCTCTGTTCACAGGGTCTAATTATTTCCAGCACAGAAGACTTTGGGTAGATTGGAATGGAAATCAATAATGGAACATGTGTGATAGGAACATTAGTTTTCTCCTCCTCCTCCTTTGGGATAGAAGTGGGATCAGAGGAGACTCAGCCAAGAAAAAAAAAAGAAAAACAACACCCACAAAAAAAACTCTCAGAGATCTGCTGCTGTTGAGTATATAAATACCCATGTTTACACAACTCATTCTGGCATTGTAAGACATTCTCATCTCTTCAGCACTTGCCATGGTAGATATATAGTGCTCCCAGTAATTTGCTTTCAAAACAATCATTGATTATTTTAATTTATTTTGACTGAAGCATAAATAAAAATATGTTATCTTCAGATGCAAAATACTCTCTATTTCAGCATGTACTACATTTGATCATTTCACACATATAAAATCAACCTTCAGGTTAAAAAGTGTTAAATCCAAAGCTGTCTGCGTAACCTTAACTGTGTGCTTGTTTTAATACAAACACTAACTACATTGCACTGAGGCAAGGGAGATTTCAGTTAGATGAGAAGGAAAAATTTCTGGCAATAAGGTTTCTGAAAGATTGGAACCGATAGCCATCTGACATCGTTAGCCTGTGTTTAAAGCTTTCTGCACACCTATCACGTAGTACCTAGGTAGATTACTTCCATCGTGGTTAGCAGAAGAGACTGGTTGGTGTCTCGAGGTTCCCTGAAGTCCTAATGTAGCAATGTTCCTGCTGAGCCCCGGTTCGTTCAAGGGACAAAACACAGTGCTCGTATGTGAAGAGCAATTATAAAACAAAGAAAGCATCATCTCACACCTCTGCTAAGGCATAACAGCAGTTAAACGCAGTTGCACAGGGGCAGGGAAGTAAGGTTTACAAAAACCCCTAAAATTTTGAAATCATTTTAGTGGCTAAAGTATCTCACAAAATCACCACATATTCAGCCTTTTTTACTAGCGCCCCAGAGATCTCAGGAGATAGCAGGAATAGGAGTTGTCCAGAAATAAAAATCTAACCTAAAGAATCTAAAAATTAGGCACCCTGAGAATGAAGAATGCAAAATTAATGTGACTTATCCAGCCTCACCCAACTGATCCACGGCAGAAACAAGGACAAAATCCAGTTTTCTGTGATTGCACATATAGAAGTTACACATAAAAGTATGTTCTCAATATAGACAGCATTTAGCTGCCAAATTCTAATACAGCATTGTACTGAATATCACTTGCGATATGTAATTTTTAGAACTTCATGATTTGATCAAATTTATTTGCATTCTCAGATACTGGCAAAGACGACTGTTGTTAATGCCAGTAGCTGCTTTCAAAACAGTAAGCTCTTCTGCTGCACTTCTTGCTCCAAAATATGAGAGCAGCAGAGTTCCTCCAAGATTAAAAAAAAAAAAAAAACCCAAAACTAAAACAAACATATAAACATTGCAGCTAACGTTTTCTTACACAAAAATTCAGCCTTACTCACAATACCAAGCACAAGAAACTCTGGTCCTAGTACTTACATTTGGGTGAAGTCATAAACTGCTGAAAACCTCAGTTTTATAATGGAAACTGTTGGGAAATTGCCGGTATTTCTTTCTCTACCATCAAGCACTCTAGGCGTATCAGAATGGAAGAACAGTGTGGACTTTGAAGGCAAGGACACAACACGCACTGAACTCTAGAGGATGGCTACTGATTATGACCTCAAACAAGAACAATAAAGTATGTGCCTAAATACAAGGACATCAACAGCCCTACTGAAATCAGTGATATTGTTCACACGCATATACTTAATTATATTGCTGGACTGCGCCCTGAAAACTGAAAAGAATTTGTAAAAGCCGAAATAGTGCTCCAGTCCCAATTTTGCTGGTCACCAGCCAGTCACGCCGAGACCCAAGACAGGTTAACCAAACCATCAGGAACAGTTTCTGTAGCGATGGGTGGGCAGATTGCATGACCTGGTCACATTTTTTGACCTCCTGTATTCACAACAGCTTTTGAGGCAATACCCCCCCCCACCAGCCAGTGAAGTCTCACATGCGGCTGCTCCCTGT